AAGCTATGCAAGTATGAAATGCAGCCTTAAATTTGGAGAAAATCTTAAATCAGGTTTGGGATGAGGTGCTGGAAGGTTAGACTGAAGAATTCAGAATGTACATGAGGAAGAACTATGGTAATAAGCTGTGGATTCTCTTGACTCTAACCTGGTCTCTTGGAAACGCAGAATCTCCAGGACATTCCCTTTTGTGTTCAGACTAGTGTCCCACTGGGAAACCGTGTGCTTAGGGTTTGGAGTAACAAGACAGAAATGTGCTGATGAGCAGACAAGGGGAGCTATACATATCTCCTCTGCTGCATCCCTCAGCCTGTACAACCTTGGACTGCATGAGGTGTGGTAGTTGCTCTTGGAGTCCTAAGTCTGGCTGGGAGACTCTTGCCACCCTCATTCCTGCTGTCTGTTGAGGAGCCAGAGCTTCAGTCTCCATCATTAACCATCCAGGAGGAGTTTGAAGTTCCCCCCAGTGACCTTCCTCTCAGAGTTCCCAACCAGGTGAGTTGGCAAGTCCAGGAGATACTACAGAAAAGGATCAGAGAAAAACATTCTTGAGGTCACCTGATAACCACTTGCTGAGCCCAATGCTAAGAGATTGTTAGTTGTTTGTTTTTCTGATTAGCTAACTAATGTATTTATTTATCATGCTGAAAAGGGACGTGAGCATGAACCTTCACAGGGGTGACTGTTGACTATTAAGTGAAGGTAACCCATTAGAGTCAAGAATGGCTGGCATACAGTGCTTCTAGTAAAAGCAAGACTTATCTAAGGGGTCTTGCAGAAAAAGCAAGTAAATAAAAAGCATTTGGTGTGGAGGTAGTCCAGCGAATTGTGGGTATTTCTGTTTTCTTTTTTAAGATGGGTTACATTTGAAACATTTTTATATTTGTAGGAAAGATCCAGACCAATGTATTGCTTGCAAATATTACTTTGTAATAAAAGTTTATGATAGATTAATGTCACATTATCTCTTTTACACTCTGGGTATTCAGGTTAAAAAATATCTTTGAGAATCAAAAAGCAGCATGCTAAATAGCTTTATTTTGCAATTATTTTCCTGTGAAGCTGAATACTATCTATGGGTTACTTTTTCATTTGTATTCTCTATTGTAAATAGTCTATACAAAATCTTTACATTTGTGTAGAAAGCATTGGAGAATTTTTATTCTTGTTTTTGATTACATTGTTGCAAACAAGGAACTGGAGTTTTTCTATCAAATCTCTGTTTAAGACTGAGTTCTTTTATGAATGTACAGGTGTATATGTAAGGGATTGTGAGTGTCTACTCATAGTGTGTGGCCAAATTTATCACTCTGTCTATTCTGTTTTCTCCATATTTTTCTGTACTGAAAAATTGAGCTGTCACTTTAATATTCTTGAAGATCTTTGATGGAAACAAAAATGAAAGTGAATATTCTTCTGTATGTGTGGAAGCATGCTCAGTCACTAGGCCATGTCTGACTCTTTATGACCCTATGAACTGTAACCCTCAAGGCTCCTCTGTCTATGGATTATCCTGACAAGAATACTGAAGTGGGTTGCCATGCCCTCCTCCAGGAAATCTTCCCAAACAAGTGATCAAATCCTCATCTCCCGTGTCTCTTGCATTGCATAAACTTATATGAATCAGTATATTTTTATATAGGATGAAAATAAAACTTAGGCACTGCACTGCTTTTTCCATGAGTTTAAAAGACTTTCCCTTATATCCTTAGATTTCCAAGTCTTTGGAAATTTAATCTGTAGCCAAAGACCCATGATGTTACTGTCAAATTTTTATTATATTATTTTGCTGTATAAGTTAGTTTTGGATTCTCATTCAATTTTGCTTCATATGGTTGATTCAGTTCAGTTCAGTTCAGTCACTCAGTTGTGTCCAACTCTTTGCGACCCCATGAACTGCAGCACATCAGGCCTCCCTGTCCATCACCAACTCCTGGAGTCCACCCAAACCCATGTCCATTGAATTGGTGGGGTCTTTTCAAATGAGTCAGCTCTTTGCATCAGGTAGCCACAGTATTGGAGTTTCAGCTTCAGCACCAGTCCTTCCAATGAATATTAAGGACTGATTTCCTTTAGGATGGACTGGTTGGATCTCCTTGCAGTCCAAGGGACTCTCAAGAGTCTTCTCCAACACCACAGTTCAAAAGCATCCATTCTTCTGTGTTCAGCTTTCTTTATAGTCAAACTCTCACATCCATATGTGACCACTGGAAAAACCATAGCCTTGACTAGATGGACATTTGTTGACAGAGCAAAGTCTCTGCTTTTCAATATGCTGTCTAGGTTGGTCATAGCTTTCCTTCTAAGGAGTAAGCATCTTTTAATTTCATGGCTGCAATCACCAACTGCAGTGATTTTGGAGCCCAGAAAAATGAAGTCAGCCACTGTTTCCACTGTTTCCCCATCTATTTGCCATGAAATGATGGGACCAGATGCCATGATCTTTGCTGAATGTTGAGCTTTAAGCCAGTTTTTTCACTCTCTTCTTTCACTTTCATCAAGAGGCTCTTTAGTTCTTCTTCACTTTCTGCCATAAGGGTGGTGTCATCTGCATATCTGAGGTTATTGATATTTCTCCCGGCAATCTTGATTCCAGTTTGTGCTTCCTCCAGCCTAGTGTTTCTCATGATGTACTCTGCATATAAATTAAATAAGCAGGGTGACAATATACAGCCTTGATGTACTTCTTTTCCTATTTGGAACCAGTCTGTTGTTCCATGTCCAGTTCTAACTGTTGCTTCTTGACCTGCATAGAAACCACTAATTCTAGTCTAATTGAATTCTTACTGACACTCTCTACATTATAAATTCTTTTTTCTTTTTAAACTTCTTTTCCTATAGATGTATAATCTATATATAATACATACATTTGCATATATATTCATATACTTTTATTCAAATAAATAAATAAATAGAATTATGTGCATATCATACACACTCTTTATATTTTAGTGCAGTCTTGTTTCTTCCTTGTGTCCACTGTTCCATCTTACTCGTTAATACCTCATGGACTTGCCTCCAATCCACTAGTGTTTTGCTCATTCATTATTTCAATGTCTGCCTAATATTCGATGCTATGGCTGTGCTACTCACATTTTGAAAACTCCTGGATGTTTCACTCCTGGACACTCTTTCACACTTTCTTTCATCATTTTCCCCTTTGCACATTCATCTTGCAGCATCAGCTTCCTATTTATTGCTTAAACACCTGCATCAAGCAGCTTTCTCTTTGCCCTGTCATCCACAGGACTGAATGTGGAGACTCATCACCACTGACAACCATTCTTTTGCAAATAGGAAGGTGAGGCTAATCTTTTTGCATATATTGTCAACCACTTCCGGAAGATAAATACCACTCTTCCCATTATTTGGGTAAACATGTAAAACTATAGAATGATTAAATTGCCTCTTATAGTTAAAACAGTTTGTATGTGGTAGATCCAAGATTTGATGCAAGGTTTCCTAATTTCAAAATTAGGAATTTTGTTTAATACAATTTAGAAGTGTGTTTTACCATTTCCCTTTAAAATCCTTTCACTATTTTTGTACATTGTACATTTCCATTTGCAAGTTCTTGGTTTATTCTCTTTGCTGATTTTTCTGCTGCTGTTGCTGCTAAGTTGCTTCAGTTGTGTCCGACTCTGTGCGACCCCATAGACGGCAGCCCACCGGGCTCCGCCGTCCCTGGGGTTCTCCAGGAAAGAACACTGGAGTGGGTTGCCATTTCCTTCTCCAATGCATGAAAGTGAAAAGTGAAAGTGAAGTCACTGAGTTGTGTCCGACTCTTCGCGACCCCTTGCTATCATAAAGATATGTCTTTTTTTTTCAATCTGGAGGTATATATATATATATATTTCCTGGTGGCTCAGACAGTAAAGAATCTGCCCCCAATGCAGGAGACCCTGGTTTGACCCCTGGATCAGGAAGATCCTCCCCTGGAGAAGGGAATGCCTGCCCTTTCCAGTATTTTTGCCTGGAGAAGCCCATGGACAGAGGAGCCTGGCAGGCTACAGTCCATAGGGTCACAAAGAGTCAGATGCGATTGAGAGAATAACATATATACACACACATATATTTGCTTTATTAGTTATTCTGAGCATCAAACAGATGTACAGAGAGCAAGGAACAATACACTGGATGATGGACTCCCCATGTCTTGAAGTTTTAGTAATAGCACAGAAGTCATTTTATTTTTCAGCATCCTCTGACACAACCCTTCATCACCCTCCCTCTTACATTCCCCTGAACACTGGCTTACTTTTGAGCTTGAATATCTAGAAAAAGATCTTCAGTATCATTGCAGGTTCTTTTACCTACAGGATGTGTACATGATCTGATAAACTCTTGTCACCTGTTGTGTCTTCCTTAAATTCTGTTTTCAAACATCATCTAGTTAGCAGATTAACTGAACTCTCAATGAAAAATAAGTGCCATCCACTCACTTTTATACCTGCATCTTTTCTTTATTCATAGCACCTAACAAAAGATTCATAGCATCTTTTCTTTATTCATAGCATGGTATATATTTGCTTACAGTCTTTCTCTGTGATTGGACTATAGGGATTTTTGAAGGGCAAAGTCCAAGACAAAAATTCATAGACAGAGAAGTCATAGAGACCCATTTAACAGGATGAATTCCATAGCAAATATATATGTTGGCAACTCACTCCAGTGTTCTTGCCTGAAAAGCTCCATGGACAGAGGAGTCTGGTGGGCTCCAGTCCATGGGAGTCGTGAAGAGTAGAACACAACTGAACCAATTAGTATGAATGTACACACACACACACACATGTAGCTTAACTTCAAAATATTAATTGTAAAGTTCCACCTATTTTAGTAATACCCATTTGTATGAAAATTAGTCATATTATTTTTTTCTTTCCTAGTTGTCACATCAATCATATGGACCTGGTAATAATACATAGATTTCAGAATTTCTACTTCTGGGATTATCAAATGAACCAGAACTGCAGCTCCTCATATTTGGGCTTTTCCTCTCCATGTACCTGATCACTGTGTTTGGAAACCTGCTCATCATCCTGGCTGTCAGCTCAGACTCCCACCTCCACACCCCCATGTACTTCTTCCTCTCCAACCTGTCCTTTGCAGACATCTGTTTCACCTCTACCACCATCCCAAAGATGCTGTGGAACATCCAGACTCACAGCAAAGTCATAACCTACGAAGGCTGCATCATCCAGATGTATTTTTTCTTACTGTTTGGGGGATTGGACGTCTTCCTCCTGACCATGATGGCCTATGATCGGTATGTGGCCATCTGTCACCCTCTGCACTACACAGTCATCATGACATCCCAGCTCTGTGTTCTCCTGGTTCTGTCATCTTTTGTTATGAGTTTCCTATATTCCCTGATGCAAAGCTTAATGGTGGTGCAGCTGTCCTTCAGTACAAAGCGGGCAATCCCCCACTTTTTCTGTGAAGCCAACTTGATGATCCAACTTGCCTGTTCTGACACCTTCATCTGTGACCTGGTGGTATATTTTGTATCAGCGGTGCTGGGTGGTGGTTCCCTTGCTGCTATTCTTTACTCTTACTCTAAGATAATGTCCTGCATAAATGGAATCTCATCAGCTCAGGGGAAGTATAAAGCATTTTCCACCTGTGCATCTCATCTCTCAGTTGTCTCCTTATTTTCTTGTTCAGTCCTGGGAGTGTACCTTACCTCTGCAGATACCCACAGCTCACACTCAAGTGTGATTGCCTCGGTGATGTACAGTGTGGTCACACCCATGCTGAATCCCTTCATGTACAGTCTCAGGAATAAAGATATTAAAAGAGCTCTGAAAAGATTTGGGAAGGAAACTAATAAAGAGTTAAGTGTCCTGGGGCTGAAGAACTGCCACTGATTGCAGGGCTTAAAACTCAGAGCCATAAATGATGATTTTTTAAAATTTCATTTTGAAGGTAGAACTTGCTCTTTCTATTTATTTCTGGAATTTTTATTTCTTTGGCTTCCATTTATCTATACAAGTTAACTCACTTTATTAAGCTTTCTTCTCTCTGCGATATTGAGAATTTTCCCCTTTGTTGTCTTCCTATTATTCCTAATTTATTACTATTTTTCATTTATTTTTATTAGTTGGAGGCTACTTTACAATATTGTAGTGGTTTTTGCAATCTTGGAAAAGAAATATTTGGATATTTCCATTTATTTCATGGGACTATATGCAATTCTTAATAATTTTTCTTAAATGAAAAATGTAATCCCATGTAATATTTCCTTAGGTTTTCTAAGAGTACTAGGTTGTACAAACTCTATGAAAAAACATACTGGGCAACTGAGACAATTGATAAGTTTAACAGTTCAGTTCAGTTGCACCTTCGTGTCCGACTCTTTGCGACCCCATGGACTGCAGCATGTCAGGCTTCCCTGTCCATCACCAACTCCCAGAGCTTGCTCAAACTCATGTCCTTCGAGTTTGTGATACCATACAACCATCTCATCCTCTGTTGTCTCCTTCTCCTCCTGCCTTCAATCTTTCCCAACATCAGGGTCCTTATCAAAGAGTCAGTTGATAAGTTTATATGGCAGGAAAATCTGAGACCACAGTTTTTCACTATATGTCCACCAATCATAGTGTATTACTAACTTAGCTGCTCTTTGTAATAATATAAATTAACATACAGTGTCTTATAGCAAGTTATTTGTTTTCATTCTCCTGACTAAGGTACTCCTCTTCTCTAACTCACCTTTGTGTACACAACACCAACACTAGCTCTTGATTAAAATTGATTATCAAATACATGTCTTTTAGTGATTTCTGCACAGAAAGAGAAATTAGAATAAAAAGGTGAATTGATATCACCTTGAACTGTTGTTGTTGCTTAGTCACTAAGTTGTGTTTGACTCTTTTTTTGACCCCAAGGACTGAAGCCTGTCATGTTCCTTCTATTGATATTGCTGATAATATGGCTCCTCCTTGCATTGCTCTAAATGAAATAACTCCCTGATTTAAAGTGTTGCCATAACAACTAAGGGTATAATGATTAATCATTATCAGTATTTTTCATTATATGTTTCCTTTATGGTCAGAAATCTCTTCATCTTTCTGGTCAAAGAATGTCTCAATCAAGAGCTTGAATTCATGTCCAGGCATATAAATCAGGGTCACCAGTTTTCCTACACAAAAATGCATATTCTTTCAATCGTTCTTGGTTACCTGGAAAGGAATCCCAGTAAGATAATCTTTTTAATAGAGCTGTCTGAAAAGAAGCCATGAATGTTGTCTTCATATATGATAGCAAGTCAAAAGTAAGCAGCAGCAAATTATTATCATTGCCCTCACTTCTGTTCACTTTGATTAGGTATTAGTTAGCTAATGCTGTGCCAGATATCCAAAAAGCCAATGATCAGATTCTATTGTGAAATGTTGTCATGAGCTCTGCTATTCTCCTCTGGAGTCTATCTGGGTCTCTACCCTGTGCTTCTACATCTCATTAATGATGTAGAATGTGGTCATGGTGCTCTTCTCTCTTGAACAAATATATTATCAGTTTCTGCTATTTATCTATTTTACCCTCTATATTATTGGGAAAAAAAGAGCATCAAGTATGAATTGCCTTAATTTAGTACTAGAGTCCCTATATGTACATTTTCCTTTTTCACAGGCAGAGGAGATATCCACTACCACTGCTCAGTGTGAATCAGGTACCTGGGGTTCAGGTTCCTCTTTGATCCATGCCCAGCTGTATTTTATTTCCTTCTAATAGACTTACTTAGTCATGTACGGATGTGAGAGTTGGTCCATAAAGAAGGCTGAGCACCAAAGAATTGATGCTTTTGAACTGTGGTGCTGGAGAAAAACTCTTGAGTTCCTTGAACTGTAAGGAGATCAAACCAAATCCTAAAGGAAATCAACCCTGAATAATTCATTGGAAGGGTGGATGCTGAAACTGAAACTCCAATACGTTGGCCACCTGATGCAAACAGCTGACTCATTGGAAAAGTGGAAAAGACACTTATGCTGGGAAAGATTGGGGGCAGGAGGAGAAGGGGCATCAGAGGCTGAGATTGTTGGATGGCATCACCGACTCAATGGACATGGGTTTGAGAAACCCAATGAGATAGTGGAGGATAGAGGAGCCTGGGCGCTACAGTTCATGAGGTCACAGAGAGTAGGACAAGACTTAGTGACTGAACAACAACAATGATAGACTCACTGGCATTATTTATATCCTATAATCTGCACATAGTTAAAATGCACTTTTTAACAAAACATAGAAGTCTTACAGAAATAGCAGGACACACTACACAGTTCTGTTTATGTATAGTTCAAGAAAGTTCACAATAACTCTAATATCATTTTTAGGAAACTCAAAAATTTAATCTCCTGGGTCTTACTGTCCTTGTTTCTGAAGAAAATGTGGGACAGTAAACATAACTTCAGACAAATGTTGTAAGAAACAAATGAAATGTGTAGATCTATTTTGATAGGTCCAAATAAAATCTTCAAAGAAGACAGTCATGTGTATGTGTGTTCATTTATATAAATTTTTATTTCAAATAAACATATGCACACTGATTTGTACACAGTCTCATGTTTTATGTTGAGAGGAAATATGTGAGAAAGATGGAGAGGATACATGTAAAAATAATGAATGCTTGACTGAATATAAAATCAAATAATGTAGAAAACTAGGCACAAACTATAGTGTAAATGGTAGACAACAAATTAAATAATTACTTTTCCTATCTTAATGCCTCATGGACATCATAATCTGAAGCAAGTTTACATTTAGGCCATGAGAATATCTCTATCAGCTGAAGAGACTGAATATCCCCAAATTGAATTTAAATTTCCTTTTCCCACTTAAGATGAGATTATAACACAAAATATCTTTCCCCAGGGGAAGCTCAATAAATGAACTGAGAAGTGTAATCTCCATTTCTGGAACAAAATTTTACTGGGAAAAAAAAAATGTCTGTATTCAATTGCTAATGTTAAGAGAAAATTACCACACCAGTGATTTAAATATGTAATTTATGTTCTGACAATTCTGGAGTTCGGAAGCCTGATATGGGTTTCTCTGGACTAAAATCAACATGTTTGCAGGGCTGGATTTCCTCTGGAAGCTAGAGGGAAGAATCTATTTATTTCCCTATTTTGTGTTCAGACTATTATAGGGAAATAATATAAATATATTTATTACAATGAAAAAACATTTCAATATGAGGGATTAAATCAGAACTCAACTTGTGATATAATTAAGAAATTCCTAGTGATTTTGGCCGGAGAAGGCAATGGCAACCCACTCCAGTACGCTTGCCTGGAAAATCCCATGGATGGCAGAGCCTGGTAGGCTGCAGTCCATGGGGTCGCGAAGAGTCGGACACGACTGAGCGACTTTACTTTCACTTTTCATTTTCATGCATTGGAGAAGAAAATGGCAACCACTCCTGTGCTCTTGCCTGGAGAATCCCAGGGACGGTGGAGCCTGGTGGGCTGGCGTCTATGGGGTCGCACAGAGTCGGACACGACTGAAGCGACTTAGCAGCAGCAGCAGCAGCAACAGTGATTTTGGACAATGTGGCACCAAGCCAAGCTGTGCAGTGCTCAAGGTTTATATCAAAGGAACACAGTTCTCCTCCTTGTCCTTGTTGAAGAGGAGAAGTGCAATTTTTTCTAGGCATCAGTGGGTTGTGTCTCTACTACAAGTCAATATTTGAAGAGTCAAGGGATCTATTCCAGGAAGGGATGTAATCTATTCCTAAACTTGGAGAAAATCAGGTTTGGGATGAGGCATTTTTCAAAGGTTAGACTGAAGAAGTCAGCAAAGTGCATGAGGAAGAACAATGATAATTAGCAGTGGATTCTCTTGACTCTAACCTGGTCTCTTGGGAGCACAGAATCTCCAGGACATTCCCTTCCCTGTTCAGACCAGTGTCCCACAGGGAAATCATGGGCCTAGAGGTTGGAGTAAAAAAGAGGGAAATGTGCTGATTTGTAGACATGGGGAGCTGTAAATATCTCCCCTGCTGCATCCCTCACTCTGTACATCCTTGCACTCGATGGAACGTGGTTATTGCGGTTAGAGTCCTAAGTTTGGCTGGAGACTCATGCAAGCCTCCTTTCCACTGTCTTTTGTTGGACCAGAGCTTCAGTCTCCATTATTAACCATCTAGGAGGAGTTTGGACCTTCTCCCAGTGATCTTCCTCTCAGAGTTCCCAACCAGGTGAGTTGACTAGTCCAGGAGGTACTGCAGGAAAGGGTCCAAGAAGATAAAATCCATGCATGTATACCTGAAGTCACCTGAGAGCCAACTGCTGGTTCCAGAGCCAAGAGTTTGCTAGCACTGACCT